CAGTTAAGATGCTCAGCAAAGTCTGGAGCTTCTACTGCAGAAGGGAATGGGATGGGGTGCCCAGTGCAAACAGCAGGTGACACCAGCAGGATTGAGATGTAGGTGTGAATGCCAGGAATTGGGATGGCGCTTTCAAGTTGGAGGGTTGCTTGTTTGCTGCCATTACTTGTCTCTGTGGTGTAATTACCCAGCACAGCCACACTGCCAGAGCGAGATGCCACATTTGCCTGACCTAGTTCCTCAGCGCTGCTCAGCCTGTGCCGTGTAACAGGTTGTGGCTGACAACCACTCCCTGCCCCAGGAGTTCAGGCTGCTCCCAGAGAACCCTTAGATGCTGAAAGGCTTCAAAGCTTTCTGCACTGCAGGAACCTGCCTTTGCATCCTCTGGCTCTTGGGGCACATCATGGGGATGCTGGGTCTCATGGGGAAAGGCACAGTGGTGCCGGCATCGCTTTGTTCACTTGTGCTGTGTCCACACCCAGCTAATTGCCTCCCTTGGTCTGAACACCTTGTTGTAGATATTTGGGTCCTTTCTTTCCCTCTGCCTAATTGCACCCTTCTTTCTCTCAGTATTTTTAATCACCTTTCAGTGGGTAATTATACTCAGTGTTGTGGCTGTCTTGAGTCTATTCAATCACTGTGTGTGTTTGGGGGTGTCTATGGTTAATATACATTTTTGAAAGGTTGGAGGGAAGAGGTGTGTTGGTATCTCAAGTCTCAAATCTTCAGGTGAAATGTGTTTGTTGTCAGACTTTAACCGCTGGAGGTTACACATGGTTTTAACAAACCATGTATGTTTTCCTGCCTTGCTCTCTCTGTAAAGAGTTAGAGGTGACAGTTCCTGTGTGTTGCTTTTTTTTTTTAGTCTGCTTTAATGTGAGTTTACAGTCCAAAGATTTGCTTAGCACAGTTAATGCTCATTATCATCATTCTTGATCTGTGTCTTGCTAGGATTTCAGACTTGTATCTCTATGACAGTAAATTCTAGTGCTGTTGCTGTGTCTAATGAGGGCTCACTGCCCTATTCATGACCAAGCTTGTGATTTTTATCACATTCATAAGTCTGTGTCTAAGTAGCAAAAGGCTTGAGCTCATATCTGAACCAGGGACTAAATTCTGCCCATAGGCACTGAAGGCAGGGGTTGGTCTTTACTAGCTACTGAGATAGTGACCTGTTTCTGGTCTACAGTAATTGCCACCCGGTTTGGACATCTGCTACAACCTTTTATTATTCTGATGTTTGTCAGGATGACAAAAGCCACCACCTGAATCCACTGGACTAAATGCAGTGTTTAGATAAGCCAGTGGCCTTTAGGAAAGCCACACAAGGGGCTGAATCTGTCTCGCTGGTTAAAATGATTGGTCCCTGTGCAAACTAATTGAGAAATATCAGTTTCACCCCCTCCCTGGAGCTGCAACCACTGGTCTGTTTAAACTTATTTACATCTCAAATGTAAAAGTCTCTCATTCCAGCATCAGAATTACATCCACCTACTTAACCTCATGCTGGTGACCTTGTATCCACTTGGGATAAATCTAGGAAAACCTCCCATCATCATCTCCAACACAGAGCCGTGTGAGAGCACTCACTGCCCTGGCTCCCAGGGCCCCCACCCTCAATGAAGTCTCTGCTTAAATTACCCTGGCAATTGCAGGCATTGCAAATGAATCTTTTCACAGCCCTTTTCCCCATCTATTTTTGAAATCTGACCTTGTTAAAGTGCTGCTAAGACAGAGACCCCCCCATCCAACAGCCTTGGGGCTGAAAGATGGTTATAAAATCAAAACACTGCCTGAGTGAGTGGGAAGAGTCACGGCTCTGTGCTCCTGAGTGACATGTATCGCTATTTGGATTTGTGTCAAGGCAAGGCTGTCCAAACTCCTTGACAGCCCAGGGCAGGGATGGATTACATTAGAGCATTATAGCAATTGGGGGACCAGATGGCAAATAATGTTATATTATGATGGAAAATAATTCCAGGCTCAAAGGAATTGTCCAAGAGATTCACTTGTATAAATTTAGTCTGTTAGATAAAGGCTGAGCTGGGCTTTGGGATCTCTTGGTTCAAATCCTTGCACTGCTGCTTAGCTCCTGTATGACCTCAGAGCAGTCCTTTTGCCTCCCTGTATCCCTTTCTTTGTTTTTTTTTTGCCCCTTCAAAGGGTAGGGGTTCTCCTGATTGCACTCTGGAAGGTGTTTCTGGTGCAGAGCCTCCCTCAGATTGGCCCCTGTTCTGGTAAGGCTATATGTGATAATAATTAGGGCTGGTCCACCCTGTTCTGAGGTTAGCAAAAGCTGGAGAGCCATGGTGGCAGCCCTGAGCCTGGGGTGTCCTGTTTGTCCCCTTTGCTCTGGTCATGCCACCTTCAGCATCTTTTTTGAAAGAGGTCATGTTAGGGGGGACAGTCTTACCTGTTCACTCCTCAATGCAGCTTCTAATCTAATGCATTCAAAGCTGAGGACATCAGCACAGCAAAGCCCTCACTATGAATGCAGAGACAGACTTTCATCACCTGAGGAAGGCGGTCCCTTTCAGCCTGTTCAGCCTCCTAAAACCCTAAATGAAGTGGTTTGTGGGATCACTTCTAACATTTGTGGCCATGCAATAGCAGCCTAGTAAAGTGACCAGAGTTTCTTAATGTTCGTATTTAGGACCAAGTTAAATACACAGAGGAGCAGCCTCTTAATTACTATTGCTAATTAGTTAATGGTTGTGAGGTGCTTTGAAGATGAAAAGTGAAGAGGTGCATGATTAGTAAGTCCCAAACACCCCTGTAATGCCAGCAACAGCATTGCTATGGGTCAGCAGGGACTCAGTGCTGCAGTAGCTCACAGAGTGCTGCTGAGTTTTTATTTGAGCCAGCAACAGAGGTAGTTAAATCTGGATGAGTTTCTTGCATGCTTAAAAGGTGATGAGCTGCATGTAGCTGATTCAGTTTGGGGCAGGGACATGGTCTTGATGAGCTTAAGGTCCCTTCTGGCCCTGTTTTCCCTGATACTGTGGTCCAGGGACCACTTTGCTGAGCTAGAGCCCATCTTTTCCTGCTGAGCACAGTGCTGGGATGACCTGATCTCTGTAATCCTCCCACAGCTACAGTTGGCCTCAGAGGCTCTTTGAGCAGATGCAATTTAAGTTTAAAGAAAGGAAGCTCAGATGTGCATGACAAAGACTAACCCGATACAGACCTGGAAGTAACAAAGTGCCTTAAAATTGCACCTATGTGAAGAGTTTCTGGGCTGTAATCCTTGCCTTTTTTTCTTAAGCATCAACATGAAAGGGATAGGAAGGAAGGATGAACTTGAAGCTCTTTTTTCCTCCTAACTTGTGATGTGCTCCTCCTTTTCTTCTAATAAAATATGTCTGGGAATGCTTTGGAGGCTACTTCTCCATAGCTGTTGCCACACCTGTTGGGAAGGGGAAATTCCTCTTGGTCTGCTGTTGTGGAGCAGCCTGGGGGAGTGCTGCTGCTGGAATGTTCTATTGACAAAGCTGGCAAAAAAACCTCCCTTTTCATGGAAGTTGAATTATTTGTTTGCTCACTTTTGGATTTGGTCTCTGTGGGCCAGACCTGCAGCTGTGGCAAATCAGCTCAGCTCCAGATGTGCCTTATAGATCTTAAGCTGTCATTTCCCTGTGCTGGTATGTTATTCTGTAGATCTTCCTGCTGCCCTGGGTTTGGCACTGTTTCAGCTTTTGGTCTGCTTTGTCCCCTCATTCAGCCAAATGAGGACAGAGGATGTGTTGGGCTCTCGGTGGCACGGGGCTGGCATCGTGTCCACCACCTTCACTTGCAGACGGTCAATGAGAAACAATAAATCTCTATTCATGGGCTGGTTCATAGCCTCAGTTTTATCCTTTGCACACAGTAGCTTTGATAACCCAAGACTCCAACTGTAAGGGCATCTCCTTCACTTTTCCAGTGTTACTGCTGGTGACAGTGTTGTAGAACCATGACTGGGACTTTTGATTATAAGAAACCAACTTTGAAAGACTGCATTTAACTTTGCAAGAAGGGAAAAAAAGGATTCTTGTGTAGTTTCGATGTTTTGGCATTTATCAGCTGCACACTGCTTAAGTCAGCAGATGCATAGTGCTGTCAGGATGGGTCTGGTTTGGGAGTAGGGTCAAGATACAAAGGAGGTTTCCAGCATAGGGGTTCATCAGTTTGTCTGAACACTGCAGTGTACTTGTGAGAACTGGAGGTTGTAAGATCCAGGTGCCGTGGGCCAAAGGAAGCTTAGTTAAGTTAGCCTTGTGATTGATAAGTATTACTTATCTAGCATCAGAGGTGTGCGTACCACTGTGGAACTGGGGTGGTGTGCTTCAAGCCATGAGAATCTCTCTTGCTCAACCCTGCTTGGTGACAAGTTTTTCACGTGTTTTTGCAGCACGCAGGATCAGGTCCCTGATGAGGTGTGCACAGTCATAGAATCCCAGACTGGTTTGCGTTAGAAGGGGCCTTAAAGCTCATCCAGCTTCAACCCCCTGCCATGGGCAGGGACACCTTCCACTAGAGCAGGTTGCTCCAAGCCCCTGTATCCAACCTGGCCTTGAACACTGCCAGGGATGGGGCAGCCACAGCTTCTCTGGGCACCCTGTGCCAGCGCCTCAGCACCCTCACAGGGAAGAACTTCTTCTTTGTATCTAGTCTAAATCTCTCCTCTGTCAGTTCAGGTCCATTTCCCCTTATCCTACCTCTACATGCCCTTGTCTAAAGTCCCGGTAGCTGCAATAGCGCAAAGCAGCGCCCGGTAAAGCGCAGTAAAGGAAAGAAACGTGTTCCGGGAGGGAGGGAGGGCGGGCCGAGGCCTTGCGGGGGAGGCCGTGCTCGCAGAAGGGGGTTGCACCCCTGGGGGCACACGGACGGCTGCGGCCCTTTGGAGCTCGCTGTGCCCGGGCACCGCTCGGATCCCCCCGGTCCCTCCCCGCGGCGGGGCGGAGCGGAGCGGGTGTGCGGCGGGGCGGGGCGCGCTCATGTCCCGTTCTCTCCCTGCACAGGGGCAGATTGAAGTGGAGAGCAACACCGTGTTCAAGTTGGCAGCGCTGGTGTTGCAGGTAAGCGGCTCTTCCCGTGCCGTTCCCCCCCGGGCACCCGTGGCTTGGGCTTGGTTTAGCCCGACTGTGTTCTGTTTCTCTTTTCCTCCCCCCGTTTACATGAAAGCATGCACATGGAGCTGTTTTTATAGTTTCTGCAGCTGGAGAGAGGGGTGGGAAAGGGGGAAGAAAAGGCGGAAAACTTGGGAAGTGTCTTCCTCAGGGGCAAGTGAGGGAAATGTTTATTTGGGGGATTTGAAATTGAAAGAAAGAAGAAAAACTCACCAAAGGAAGTCATGTATTTGGGTAGATTTCCATCCAGTTTATCAGTTATTCTAATTTATGTTCTGCAGATCTGGGAGGAGGAGTAGCTAAATTTGCTGATTATGCCTGTGAATCTTTCTAGAGCATATGTGTTTGATACCCCTGTTATGTTGAAATATGCGATGTCAGTTTTTGTTCTCGTTAATCGAGTTTTGTTGTACTCACACTCTGGTTATTTATCAGTTTCTATGAAATAAAACTCTGCCTTTAAGACACTGAGGATTTTTTCCCTATTGCATTCCCAGTGACAAAGTGCCACGGCAAAGCTGTAGCAGCTCCATCTGCCTGCACTGTTGTTTTCATCTCGAGTGAGCACAGTTCCTCTCAACTGCTGACCTGCCTGTAAAGCCAACATTTAGCTCGATGCAGTTGGCCGGAGAGAGAATTGTATTTCACTTCTTGTGCAGTAAAAGGGAGATTTGATTTGCAGTGTGAAATTCATCCCCCTCTTGGAAATGGTTTTATTTATAATGTATGCGGATTATCTACAGTTGGAAGCATAAAGGGCCAAGTTCTGTTCTTGAATGCATGTGGGCAGGCTCCACGCTTTGCATTGCATGTAACTGGGGTCAGGATCTGGCCCCGGAGCTGTGGGAGTGGGGAAGTGAACAATGCTGGGAAAATCGAGGACTTTTGAAGAGCTCCTGTTCTAACTCTGTCACTGTTTTTCAATTGTAGGAAGCTAAAGGAGACTATTCCAGGTAATAACATTTTCCTTTCTAATACCAGTGTGCTTGATGGATGTGTTTTTCTGTGTTGGCATTGTATTGCAAACAATCAAAACCAGGGGTAAAGTCCAGCTGCAAGCAGTGGCTGAAGAAAGTGAAATGCGCTGCTGGGCTGGATAAAATCTGAGTGAGTAATGCCTTTTGTGAGCAGGCTCTGAGGCAAAACAGCTTTTCAGGCCATGCCGCTTTGCTCCCCTTCCCGAACATGGGAGGGGGAGAAAGCTCCCACACTTCCTTGAACTGTGGCTTGGGTCCATCTGGGTGACCCTGCCTGTAATAGTGGCAGCATGTGCAGATATGGAGCCCGTCAGCTGCCCGCACTGGAGATCAATGAGCTGCTTTCTTGTGCAGCTGCCCTGCAGAGCATCTCCCTTCCCTCCTGCACTTGACCTGACACTTGTGTTGTAGCTGCTGTGTGACCCAGTTGCTGGGCTTTAAAAGACGGGGTTTGTCCTTGAAGGTCACTTCTTACCATGCACTGGGTACAGTAACTGGCCCTGCAGAGGAGGTAGGGTCACACTGGGACCTGTTAGAGCCAGGGGAAAAGACCTTCAATTAGAAACAGCTCACTAAGCAAACAGAAATTAAGAAGGTTGGTTTTGGTCGTGTTAATGTTTTACTAGTTTCTGAGTTTCCATATGGGAAGAGAGGAGTGTTTTATGCTTTGGCTACGACAGGTTTTAAGAGCCAGGCTTTGAAAATGCTCAGTTGAGAGCTGTGTGCTCAGATGCAGGGGTCAAGTCACATCTGCCTGCCAACGTGACACACTGTGCTTCCTTCAATGTGCAGTTAAGTGCATGCCAGTGCTGCTGCCCAAGACCCCTGGTTCTCCAAATGCCTTCGTCAGCCCCTTCTCCACTGAAGGACATGCTCTGTGAAGTCCATCACAACCTCCTTTTCCTTTTTGTTGGTGTGCTGTCATGCCTGCAGGGAGGAAGAGGTGTCCTTGTGGCTGAGATCAGCTGGGGCTGGCTGTACAATTTCTTTTCCTGTTCATGCTGCAGACCTGCTTTGTGACCCACAGTATATTGCTTATAGCTGCAGTGTGCTGCATTTCGTTTCTCTAGAAAGACAACTCATCTTGCCTGATCTCACAGGGACACCTTAAGCTTAACTCAGTTTAGGTGTAGGTAACAAGAGAACCACTGTTCACTTGACAGGAGTTAACTTACTAAGCTGTAGCAGCTGGTGGCACGTGCTCTCAGTTCTGAAGAAGAGGGGTTAAGGTTAAAAACTACTTTTGCAGTGAAAACCTCCCTTATGTGGTTTAAACTTAATGTTGACTCCTTATGTGCTGTAAGTAGGTTTGTAAGTATTGTTTCACATGGCCAAGAACTGTGTCTGTGGTTATCTTCCATGCCTCTGCAGACACATTGCAAGGAGTGAATTGCCTGTGGTTACCTTTAAAAGTATTTGAAGAGAATTGAAGGAAGAGCACTGCTACAGGAGTGATTTCTAAGTGCAGCTCTTCCTCTAACAGTTGCATGAAAGTAGCTGCAGCAATTGTTTCCTCTGTTAAGCAGAACATATGTTCTGCTCCATAGCAAATGAGCCTGGCCAGCTGTCTCAGGCACAGTGAGCACACCAGAAGCAAAGGAATTTCATTTTACATATCACAAGTGGTCCTTTGGGCCACCGCTGATAAAGCACTAGCTTAATTACCAGGATATCTTCACATAGATACTGCAGGACTGGCCTCCCCTGCCAAACTTGTTGCGATACCAGGAATACGTCCTTGCTGCTTGTGCAGTGAGTTGCCTCCATTTGCAGTGCTTTGGCTTTGGTGTGTCCGTTGTTTGCTGTCATTTAGCTATTCCACTTTGAATCACGTTTTGGAATGTGGCTCTTGCACCACTCCTGCTTACGTGAGAACTTACCAGTTAGTATTTCTTTATATTGAATTAGTGCTGAACAAACATGGTAAATACAGGAATTGCCTGAAGTCCTAGAGATTAGCTTTCTGGAAGTGAAAAATGGGCCAGTGCAGGCAGAACTGGTGATCTTTGTCTGGCTGATTTCTCACATATGCCATGGGGAAGCGTCCCACGATGGGATCACTTTGTGAATTCTCCTGACTTCAGCTGGGAGCAGGTAGATCAGTACAGGGTCCAAACACTTCTAACTCCTGCAGCTCTGCAGTAACCCGTTTCCCAATCCAATCTCAGATAGCATCTTGATGGCAGAGCAGCAATCTCCTGAGAACCACCCTCCCGTACCCATGCAGAGTGGGTGAGCGCATTCTTTTGAAACCTATTTATTTTCAGTGAGCAAACCTGACATTGCAGCGCTCAGAGAAAGTAAAAGCTGCTGATTCTACACCACTAAGGTCACTCTGGAGGGGCTGTGCAGTATGGTAGCACTGATGTCGTGAGTATCAGGATCTTTGGGGTTTGGCTGTTGCAGGTGGTTTGCAATAGGACCCCAGCACCCTAAGCGGGGCTGTTAGGACAAGGGTATGCACCTTCTCATTTGGAGAGTGGCTTTATGTAAGATAAACCACCCAAGTCCTACTTTAAGAGGACCTTGGCTTTTAAGACATCTTGATAAGACTTAAGTACATGCTTCAGAATTGCGCTGGCAGCGTGTCCATTGCATGTGAGCCTGTTTTGGACAGCTCTGGTTTCCCAAAGACAGCCTCAAATGACTGTGGGCTGCAGAAGGAATGATTAACAAAGGTGGCAGCGGACCACAGTCAGTGTAGCTCACTGCACACCCAGTTCCTTTTCCTGTTGACTGAACTGGTGATCCCAGCCAAGATAATTACCCCCCTGTGTGTGATGAAGAGCATATCGCAGGGGTGCTCCATGAGCCATTCCCCCCTTACATGGTACAGTGTCGTGACTGTTTCTCCTGAGTTGCAGCTCTGATGTTCCCAGCAAGTCTGGGATGCTGCAGATCCCTGGCCTTCTGCCTTTCCATGCAATGATTGGGCAGGTTTTCCTCGAGAGAAGGGATGTAAGCTTTGCTTGTGTTTGCTTTTTGTGACTCATCCAGGGCTTCCAGTTGACGGCTGCTCTGTTTAAACTGAATTCCCATCAGTTTTTCCCTAGCTCCTGTAATAGGAACCCCAAGCAAAGTATTAGTCATTAATAGGAGTTTTGAAACTCTGCGTTACTTAATTGCACTCCTCCACTCTCATGTTTGCAAATGAAACAGAAAAAGCTGCCAGCCTGGTTTTACAAAATCTTGATGTTTTAAAACTCTGTTCGAGGGCTTTAGAAAGAGAACTTGATTCAGGTTCCAGCTCCTGGCATGGCTCAGTATAGGGTGAAAAAAGTCCATATTCTACTTATCTTAGGTATTTTATTTGAATTGTGAAGAAACGTAGTGTCTTGGCAGGCAAGCAAAATAACAGATCAGTCTGGTAATCATTCCCTGTGTGAATATGCAATGTATAATGTGTTGCCTCTTTGGGAAATGAATGATGTAGCTTTATTGAGTTTATAGACTAAGCATCTGCCCTCAAAATGCTGTACGATAGTTATAGTATTATTTTTCTTTGTGACTTGATGAGAGTTTTTAGCTGAGATGTCCTAAATGCTGACCTTCTAGCGTTAGAAAAACACCTATTAAAATCAGGTTAGCTATGGAAAAGTGTATTTTCTGACTGATAATCTTGGATCATATTTTCCCCTGTAACATTCCGAGGACTGAAACCCAGCCATGCTCCCTGAAAGTTAATTAAATTGTTGGAGGAGGGCTTCTATTTTCTTTAAATAGCTGACGCATTCGGTTTTGATTCTGGCCTGTGGGCTGCAAAGATAACTCCGGACTGGTATAACATAACACAGACAAAATAATGAATTCCTGATAGCTGACATGTGCAAGGCACCAGGGTTTATCGCTATAGGGGTGATAAACACGGTTTGTAAAAGGAAAAGGTTTGTGTGAAAGATACTCCTGCTATGGAATAATTGGCTCAGAAACTGCTGTATTTAAAAGCTTTACTGAGGAGAAAATGAAGTGCTTGGTCTAGGTGCAGAAAACTGGTATTATAGAATAGTTAGGATTGGGAAAGGCCTAGAGTTAACAATTTGCTCCTAATTAAGAGTGAGTGCTCAGCATTAGATTTTTGGGTAGTGTTTACTTGGGAAGATGATTATTTTACCAGATAAACTGGAAACATCTCTTGGTAGAATAGAATGTGGTAATGATGATAACGTGTGCTGTAAAATAGCTGCTCCAAAGAAGTTAGTAATTGTCTGATAGCAAAGCACCTGCTCAGTGTGCTGCTTACGTACCTCAAGGTTAAGGTAGCTTCAGCAACAGGACACACCTGAGATGTGTTGGAGGCAGCTGGTCCAGCCTGTTTTTGGAAGTCTCACCAGGTCCATATGACCAAAACTCCAGGTGTGGCCATGTCCAGGACTGGGGTTGGAGCAGAAACACGAATCTGAACCAAATCTCCCAGCTGTTCCTACTCCCCTTCCTCAGGTTTGCATCCTGGAGAGGTCTTGGAGGGCTCAAGCTGCATCCATGTGGCAGGAATGGAGCCCACCTCGTGTGTGCCAGCCACTAACAGGCACTCAGGCTGTGGGGTGAGATTAGAACTGGCCTAAAGAAAGCTCTGAGATGGGTACAATGTGTGTGTTGGCTTCCCAGCACAAACCCTTTTGCTCCATGGACCTGCCTCTGTTAGGCTGGAGGAAAGAGCCCTATTGTGAACCATTCACTGGAAGCTCTTTTCCAGGCCCATTGGGACTGGGGATGAGTTACAAGGGAACACTCATGCTGACCTCAAGCAGAGGCAGAAGACCTGAGCACAGTCTTGGATGCCTGTTTAGCCCTCAAGGATTGCCTTCCATGCATATCAGTGGGTGATACAAAAGAGGTGGTGGGTTCACTCAGGTTATCCATCAGGTGCCTGTCATAAGCAGCACTGTGGTTTAGTTCTTGGTTTTCTTTTCCATGCAAGAGTGCTTTGTAAATGCCCATGCAATGCCATTTACAGAGGCTTTCTCTAGCATGACCCA